GTAAGTTCTGAAAAATCCAGGTGACCGCCGATCGGGGATGAGTGGAATTCATGCAAAAGTTTTTGAATATGGGGGCCTTGTTTCGGAACAACTAAACGTTATGATACATAAGGTGTCTACCCATTAGCTTGAAAGGAGGTGGCAATGAGGGTCGACCACAAGTTGCTGGGTGAGCTGACGCAACTGTCATCTTTTTGGATGGTCTCTTCCAATTCCTCCAACCCTCCGAAAAAACCCATTGAGATGGCGTTAATTTCACACTCTTGGCCGCCGGATAAGGCATCAGCAGCTTGTTTCTCTGGCCCGGGCCGATACTGTATTCAAACTGTAACCCGAGCAGTTTTAACACCCATTTCTGTTGGTCTTCATTCAGCAACCTTGTTCAGTAAGGAAATGGAGGTTTTTGATCAGTTCTGATAAGGAAGCGTCGGCCTAACAAATAATGTCGCCACTTCTGTAATGCTAATACAATAGCCATCAATTCTCTTTCATAAACTGATTTGAGTTTCGAATTGGCTGACAGTCCTTTACTAAGAAATGCAAGAGGCCTACCTTCCGATTAAGACAGCTCCCAACCCACATCCTGATGCGTCTGTTTCAATAACAAACTGTTTAGAGAAATCCGGCATGCGTAGACATGGTACACTGGTCAAGGCAGATTTTAGAGCTTCAAATGCGGCCGCTGCGGTTGCACCCCAAACAAAAGCATCCTTTTTCAACAGGTTAGTCAAGGGAAGTGCGATTTTACGTATCCTTTGACAAACCGTCTGTAGTATCCGGTCAGTCCAAGGAACCCTCTGAGGTGTTTTAATATCTTTTGGACGGGGCCAGTCGACGATACTCTCAATTTTAGAGGGATCCACAGCCAATCCGTTGCTGAAATAACATGGCCCAAATATTCTAATTGGGGTGCCCGAAGGAACATTTCTTTTGGTTGGCCACTAATTGGTGTTCCTGTAGTTCTGAAATGTGAGACTGAGGTGCTGCATGTGGTCTTCCATTGACTGGCTGTACACAAGAATATCATCAAAAAAAACCAGAATAAATTCCGAAGATAAGACCTGAATACCTCGTTCATCAAAGCTTGAAATGTGGATGGGGCGTTGGTCAATCGAAAGGCATAACAAGGAATTCGTAATGCCCTTCATGAGTGCGAAAAGCCGTCTTGTGCGTGTCTTCAGAGCGCACTCTGATTTGTGGTAACCAGACTTTAAGTCCAGCTTGGAAAATCTCAGTCCCCCAAGTTCATCGAACAGTTCATAATGGCGAGTGGAATGGGAAATCGGTCGGGAATGGTCACTTTATGAGTGCCCTATAGTCTACACAAAATCTCCAACCACCATCTTTTTCTTAACCAACAACACTGGACTGGAAAAAGGACTAATACTAGGCTTAATAAGTCCTGAGGCTAACATCTCCCCAATGATTTTCTCAATTTCGTTTTTGGTAAAACGGATATCTTAAGGGCTAAGGTTTGGGGGTTGGGCATCTGGCAGTAACCTAATTGCATGGCTTGGGGTCTGCTAGGAGGTAAATCTGGTAGAGGCTCAAATACGGATCTGAAAGTTTCTAACACTGGAAACAGCGTATTATGACCTTGATCTCTTCGTCTGACTGTTTTTGCATGCCAAATTCAACCATGTAACCATTTCCCTCACTTCTCAATGTTTGGATCATGGCTTTCAAGGAAACCATGTGTTTGCTAAGTGCAGGATCCCTACAATTGTCACCGTTTCCTCACCTAATTTAAATTTCATCACTGCTGCTCCAATTCATTGTGGTTTCCCCTAATGTTTCAAGCAAGCCATGCTAACTACATCTGCACTACTCATTTCAAAGGGAAAAAAATCTTGAGTTATTTGTACCCTCTGGACATCCCAAACATACTGCTTTACACTCTCCCTCACATCGGACTTTTATCCATCACCAACTCTCACTCCAAAAGCCTGTGTTCTTTCTACAGCAATACCCAGCTTCAACCAACTCTCGGCTAATGAAATTGTGGGAACCCACTGTCAATCAAGATAATAACCTCCTGACCCATAATACTGCCCTTCAACTTCATCGTTTTGGCCATTGATTCCACAACCGAGCTAAGGGAAAGTTCAACATTACCTTGGGTTTTGTCTGTCGTCGTTCCTTCACTGGTTTCATGTCCCCTGGATCCAATTTCTCTTCTCTCATCCACGAGGATTACTTGAAATTGCTTCTCACCACACTTATGGCCAAAGAAATACTTCCCATCACACTTGAAACACAACCCTTTTTCTCTTTTCCTCTGTATTTCGGCCTCCGTCATCTTTCGAAAGGGAAATTCCCGTCGCGGTGGATGGTTTCTGTCGAAGTATTGAAGTTTGTCGAAGTGTATTGCGAGGAGAGGAATTCATGGATGAACCCACGACAGTACCTTCTGCGTTCTTCGCCCAGGATTTGAGAATTGGAGAATGAATTTGAGGAAGAATTGAGAAGGAGTTCGATTTAGGGATTCAGTCAAATTTGGGGCTTTAATTGAATCTCCGGGGGGTGGGGGGTATCGGGTTAAAAATCCTGGATCCCAAATGGTTTGAACCGACATTTATCCTGGCCCATTCCACCTATTGGCTCTTGCTGGACCTGTCTTCAGTTCTTCTAAAGCCCAGTTACGTTCCTCTACTCTGGGGCTCTTTCTATTGTTTGGAGAAGAGAAATGGGCTGGATCAACCTCAGCTCAGCCCGAATTTCTGCCTTTAACCCATTCAGAAACGCAGCGTTCAGGATCTTTCCTTCTCTTCCACCAACAAAGCAGCTACAGCTTCGAATCTTCTTCTGTAATCAGCGACTGTACTGTTTTGCTTTAGGGCATTAGAGTTTCATAAGGGTTACTCTCTTGAGATCCGCTGAATCTCTGAATTAAAGCAAGTTTAAATGATGGCCACGATGTTACAAGGTGCTCTGACTTCCATCCACTGATACCAGTTAATGGCTTCCCCTTCCATGCACACTGCCGCCGCTGTTAATTTTCCATCATCAGGAATTCCATTCAGAGAAAAATACCTTTCAATTCTAAAGATCCACCCGTAAGGATCTTCACCCATGAAAATGGGTAATTCCAGTTTCTTCTCCCAACTCACTTTGACTCTGTCCCAAACTCCCTGATCCACTTACTCTGTTTTGATTCTCCTTTCCTGATTTCTCATGTTTCTAGATGAATTTTGTCCTCACCGCCAGCTTCTTCTTCATCTTTTCCTCATCAACTCTGTATCTCTACCATGCATTCACGAATTGTCCCATATCCACGCCCAATCGTTACTCTCGTTCCACATTTTCAAGCCTAGATTCCATTCTTGTTGTACCATAACCAGCACCACACCTGCTCTGATACCAATTTGTTGGAACCTAACCAGATTTCTCAATCACTCACACAACAATAGCTCTATAACCGAAACAAACAACAATTTATAGCAACCTCTAGAGTTCCAGAAAAACATAAGAGAAGTATTTCATTAATAATTCTGTTTACAACACTCTAGACCATCTCTCAAATAAGAACTACTGGGTTTAATTAACTACACTGAAAATAAGAGAAGAATGTACAAAGGCCTAATAAAAGGCAACCATCCTATTTTGGGACATGCCCTGAAAATAGGAATCAAAAGAAACAAGCCTACAAATGGCCATCCACTCTTGGGGTTTATCTGAAACCACATAGGGAGATAAACACCAAGAAGAAAGCAAAGAGAACACCAAAAATTTCACTTACCATAGGACACCTCCCTAGGTTAGGATCATGAAAAGAAAAATATGAGATCAAACTCTTTACAAATGATACAAATACAACCAAGCAAAAACCATTCTGCATAAACCTCAGTAATCCAGTCTTCAAACGGTGTCGAGAACTTGAGGAATGTCTTTGAAAATAGATCTAGGGAGGCCCCAATCATTCGCCAACTTCCTATTGATGTAGGATGCTTTGACATTCCTAAGGTCCATAGCTTTGTCTCTCACAACACTTTTGATAACATCGATTATGGTGAAGGAATCCTTATAGTCACCCCTAAAAATTCGCGAATTTTGCTCCCTCCAAATCCAATAAACCGTAGCCCCTAAACAAAGCCTACCCAAAGTGAATTTTAGACTCTTACCTTTCGATTTCCTTGCCAAATGGGGGATGTAATCATGCCAAGGTCTAACCACATAGTCGAGGTCAGCAAGCATAAGGATCTTGCTCCAAATAGACTTAGAAAAAAGGCCTTTATAATGTAATATTATAATTACATTATAAAGGCCTTGAATTTATATATTAATTTTGAAAAGATTAAATCATCTACATATATATTAAAATAATTTAAAAAATTTCGGTCAAAGTAATAGATTTTTAAATGTCTTCTTATTATCTCTTCTAAATTTGTGTCCTATTTATGATAAAAATGTTTTCCGGGTGATACAAAATCAAACTTTCACATCATCAACATTAAACTTTCATAAATACCTTTAAATAACTTGACAGTTCGCTTAAGACTTTTGAGTGTATTATTTAAGAGGTTTGCGCAAACTAGTCCGGCCGGATACTCACAAATACCAAAAATGAATATATAAACTTTCAATTTTGTTCTTTTTTTGTATAAACATCTGTTTTTGGATTATTTTTCTAATTTAAAAAATAATGAGAGAGATTATGGTTGATTTAAGTTTTTATTTATTTATTCAAGTTTATATATATTGCATAAAAAGATGTAAATACCCTTTGACGGTTAAGCATAATATTTGAATTTTAAAAATTGGGTGGAACAGATGGTTTGAAATTAGGGGTGGGAAATGTAATTTGGTCTAACTTTAAACAGTAATATATCACCAGTATTTTATGCCATTCTTTTACTTCATGACTATTTTATCAATAATAATTTTATTATAATATTAAAAATTTATAATAATTAAAATTTTGTTTGATTGTAACATATTACAGAATCATTATGTGATAAAAATGGTATAGAGATAACATTATACAACTTTTAAAATGTAATAAGTGTGACCGGACTTCAAAATGTAATTAACCCGACCGTTGAAATCCCTTCACCATGGAATTGGAATCCTATAAACAAAATCTGTAGCCGACAAGATCAGTATGAAGCTTATTTCAATGGCGAAATCTCATTTGCCTGCATATGCTTCCTCTTCCGCAAAAATCCACCCCGAGATAGACCCCAATTCCTGCTCCCTTGAGAAGTTCAAGCTTTAGGAGAGCAGAGCGGTGAGGGTTCTTTTAACTGTAATTTTCAAATAATTGATAAACTAAGGGCTATTCAACTGAATTGAGTTTGGGTGTTTTTGAGCAGAGGTTCTATTTAATTGGGAGTGACAGGAACAAGAGGTTTTTTCGAGTGTTGAAAATTGATCTATCAGAGCCGTCTGATCTAAATATCAACGAGGATACGGTGGTTTATTCCCCCTCAGGAAATCAAAAACCTGCTTCAATTTAATTGGGAGTGACAGGAACAAGAGGTCTTTTTATTTAGGAGGGGTGGGCGGGGTTAAAGACCTTATTATTTCTATTATTACTATTATATTATTATTTCTGTGCATTTCAGTACATAATTGAGTTCTTTTTTTTTTTTTCTTCATTTTGTAAAGGTTGCATTAAGTTTTTGGAGTCATATTATTTGATTTTGGTTACCAAGCAAAGACAAATTGGATGTATATGCGGTCATGCGATATACAGTATAGATGAGCGCAATTGATTATGCTTCCTCATGTCTCTATTCAATCAGATGGGGCGCATTCGAAAATCGAACTCAGGTATTTTCCACTTGGTGTATTTTTCATTTATTTGGCCATAATTCATTGGGTTAAAATGAATTTTAATTGAATTTTTATGGACCTAGGCAATTTAAAGTCGTGGATATATTCTTAAAAGAATTTTTATTTTTTTTTATTTTACTTATTTCTCCTTTCTGACCACTGTGATCTTTACTAGTTGAATTCGTCTTTTAATTTAGAGCCAGAATTGGTTCTCATGCCTGGTTATCTATTTGTTGTATGAGAAAATGAATAATTGTTTATTTTCTAGAATTTTTACCTTTTCAGGATGTTTATGCGTGAAATGAAATAATTGCTTGAGTTTATTTTTGCTTATTTTTTAATTTTTATTTTATAGTGATGCACTCCTCTTGCCATTACTTTTTTTTCCTTTTCAGATCATGGTGTGAAAAACAGTAAAGTTGAGAATGGCCATGTATAGTCAAGTTTCCAATTCATTACCACCAATAAAATGGCCAAAACCTAAAGAAATCATCGACAACAGTTTTCCAGTTCCGTTATATAAAAAGTAGAGGAACTTTTATGCTTTCTGTGACTTGCTATGTAGGTTACTGTGTGGTAATTGCTTCTTTCTGTTTTATAAATGATCTTTTGTTATATGCTATGAAAACAAGCATAGTTGAATTATGTAAAGGGGATTTTACAAGAGATAAACAAATTTTCCTAATACCAAGGACAAACTGTCAACATAAATCCTCTAGTGTTACAATAGGGAACATATGAGGATCATGAAAGAGAAAAAGAAAGGGGAGGAACAGAAGTCAGGAGAGAAAATTTGAGGAAGAAAATAAGAAAACTATGAAGATGATGGAATAGAAAAGCAAGGGGAGGAATTAGAGAAGTGAGAAGAGAAAATTTGAATGGGGAAGTTTCTTTATTCTCAATAATCAATCAGAGCTAAGGCTAGATAGCAAAACAAACTAAGACCCTTATATGTGGTGGCTAATATCATTGTCAATCAGCTGCTCTTCATTTAAACCAGATATCTTCAATGACATAGAATGCTGGTATAAATCTAGATTCTTTACTAATTTCTGCTTTAAATAGAACGAAATGGTTCGTTTTGACTATTACCACAACCAATCCTCCACAACATTGCCATTTTCCAAATACCTCATTTTCGTGTGGATGAACTAGAACTTGGAAGCCCTAAATACCAAGCCAACCTTCTCAGCTAGGAAGCGTTCTAGAGCATATACGATGCAAAGGATATTTAGTTCTATCTTTCTATGTTTTAGGATTGAGTGTCTTAGTTATTTCAGTCTTTTATTTCAGTTTCTTTGTTTAATTAGGATTAGAATATCCATAGTTCATTGCCGTATTAGGATTAGAATTGGGATTTGGTTCTTTAGCCATAAATAAGACTTATTTTTGTTGGAATATAAGAGAGTTGATGATTACGTGCATCCCTTGTTCCCACCAGCATTGTTGTATAATGATCGGAAAGAAATAGAACTAGTGATGCTTGAAATCTGGATTTTAACAAGATAAGGTGCTCTTTCTTTGTTGTTGTAGGTTTCAGTTTCAAAGATATAAATGAAGTCTTAGCAAGAAAGCTTGACTTATCTCATTAATCCAAGCATCGTGATAAAATTTTTATTTCTTCCCAATTAAATATATGAGAACTGCCAATAACACAATTGTATAATACCAGCAGAAACCTTCATATGGAGGCTTTGTTGAAAAGAAAAAAAAAAAAAAAAAAAGAAAAAAACACTTCTTTAAAATTGAGCCAAACCTTAGGAAAAGTTAGTGAAAGCTTGACATTATTCTTTGTAATTATATTATGTCTTCATTTTGTTTGTTCCAGTTTATTTATTTCATTAACGCAAATTCGCTATGAGGGTTCTCCCCCCATCCGAATAGTGTTTTTAAGAGCACATATAATGTGGAAAGACATTGTATCGTAACATTTTCTCTGTTTTGTCCGCCTTTACATATTAGTTACTATTAAATCATTTCTCACATTTAAATACTTTTTTGGAGCTCATTTACATATTAAAATGCAGACCGTTGAAAAGGCTGCGGGAAATGATGCTAAGGCATGAGGTTGCAGATGCAGTTGGGTATCTTAACACAAGTTTGATTTATAAACTGGGACTTCATAAGTTTGCAAAGAGGTAATCATGTATTTTATCTCACAAAGTAATCATCATCCAATCAAACGCAAGAAAGGAGCTGCATTTCAGGTCAGCTAACCTTTTTTTTTTTGTTTCCTTTTCTCCTTTCTTTGCTGATTTCTAGCAAGTCTGCCAATGTTGTATCTGTTTTGGGTGGCGCGGTGTTGCGAACTACCCAGATTTCTCAATCACTCACACATACAATAGCTCATAACCGAAACAAACAACAATTTATAGCAACTCTAGAGTTCCAGAATAACATAAGAGAAGTATTTCATTATAATCTGTTACACACTCTAGACCATCTCTAAATAAGAACTACTGGGTTTAATTAACTACACTGAAAATAAGAGAAACCAAGCTAGAACGTAATAGAAACTGATATGCTGGACTTCGAGGGCCAGCTACCTCCCTTTTCCTCACTTCTTCTCGATGCCTATTCCTTTGCTGCTCCTTTTATTCATTTCTCTACTAACAGAATTTACCCTTCCTCCAATAATCTTTCGCCACCTGTCCACTACCTTCATTCACACTTTAGTTGCTTGTTTAATATTATTGATCCCTGGGCTCCTTCCCCGCTTCTTATACACCCGCACTTCGCGTGTTGTATCAATACCCTCCCGAAGGAGGCCACTTGTCCTCAAGGTGGAATGAAGGAAATTGCAAATTCAGGGTGTCATATTCCTCAAGTGTCTCATGGTGGGGTAACCCTGTCCACTTAACAAGAACCTCCCTGTCCCCATTGATAACCTGCGGAGCTGAGCACTTCCTGGATGAACCACTAAGACCAAATCTCATTCAGTGATAAGGAGAGGCTGAATGGGGTGATGGAAAATTGACCTTTTGAGTTGAGACACATGAAATACATTATGGATACGGGCAGTTTCTGGTAGGTCTAACCTGTAAGCGGCTAAACCAATTTTCTCAAGGACTTGGTAGGGGCCATAAAAACCGGGATTAGCTTTCATTACTGCGGCAAGCTAGAGATTTCAGACGGTAAGGCTGTAGCTTAGTAGGCAGATTCACACTTCAAACTGGACATCCCTCTCTTTGCATTGGCAGAAGTTGTCATGCGGTTTTGAGCTTTGTGCAGGTTCTCCTTAAGCTCAAGTAAATGCTGTTGGGTTGCATTTGTTGATTAACTCATCCACCGGAGAGTTATGGTCTGTGTATTTCAGCAATGCTGGAGGATCGCGTCCATATAATGCTTTAAAAGGGCTCATGCCCGTGGAGCTACTATAGGTAGTGTTGAACCAGAATTCTGCCCACGGAATCCAGTGAGGCCACTGCCGAGGCTGATTTCCTACAAAACAGCGGAGATAAGTTTCTAAACAACCTATTAACAAACTCCGTTTGCCCATCCGTTTGCGGATGATAAGCCGAGCTCATATGAAGTTTAGTTCCAGCCTGCCTGAACAATTCTCCCCAAAAATGGCTCATAAACACCCGATCGCGATCCGACACGATCGTTCGTGGAAACCCATGAAGCTTAACTATATCTTTATGAAGGCTGTGCTACTTCTTTGCTGTAAAAGGGTGTTTGAGTGTGAGGAAATGACGTATTTAGTGAGTCTGTCGACCACCACCAGGATAGTATCCACATTGTGCACTTTTGGGAGTCCCCCTATAAAGTCCATAGAAAGTCTTCCCAAACCTGAACGGGAATAGGGAGAGGCTGTAAAAATCCGGCTGGCCGCAGTGCTCATATTTATTCTGTTGACACAACACTGCAGGAGTTCACTACGTCGGATATCCCTCTCATTCATCCCAATAAAACACATTCATCAGCCTTTTGTAAGTTCTGAAAAATCCAGAGTGACCGCCGATCGGGGATGAGTGGAATTCATGCAAAAGTTTTTGATATGGGGGCCTTGTTTCGGAACAACTAAACTGTTATGATACATAAGGTGTCTACCATTAGCTTGAAAGGAGGATGGCAATGAGGGTCGACCACAAGTTGCTGGGTGAGCTGCGCAACTTGTCATCTTTTTGGATGGTCTCTTCCAATTCCTCCAACCCTCCGAAAAACCCATTGAGATGGCGTTAATTTCACACTCTCTGGCCGCCTGGATAAGGCATCAGCAGCTTTGTTCTCTGGCCCGGGCCGATACTGTATTTCAAACTGTAACCGAGCAGTTTTAACACCCATTTCTGTTGGTCTTCATTCAGCAACCTCTGTTCAGTAAGGAAATGGAGGCTTTTTGATCAGTTCTGATAAGGAAGCGTCGGCCTAACAAAAAATGTCGCCACTCTGTACTGCTAATACAATAGCCATCAATTCTCTTTCATAAACTGATTTGAGTTTCGAATTGGCTGACAGTCCTTTAAAGAAATGCAAGAGGCCTACCTTCCTGCATTAAGACAGCTCCCAACCACATCCTGATGCGTCTGTTTCAATAACAAACTGTTTAGAGAAATCCGCATGCGTAGCAATGGTACACTGGTCAAGGGATTTTAGAGCTTCAAATGCGGCCTGCGGTTGCTCACCCCAAACAAAGCATCCTTTTCAACAGGTTAGTCAAGGGAAGTGCGATTTTACCGTATCCTTTGACAAACCGTCTGTAGTATCCGGTCAGTCCAAGGAACCCTCTGAGTGTTTAATATCTTTTGGACGGGGCCAGTCGACGATACTCTCAATTTAGAGGGATCCACAGCCAATCCGTTGCTGAAATAACATGGCCAAAAATTCTAATTGGGGTTGCCCGAAGGAACATTTTTTGGTTGGCCACTAATTGGTGTTCCTGTAGCTTCTGAAATGTGAGACTGAGGTGCTGCATGTGGTCTTCCATTGACTGGCTGTACACAAGAATATCATCAAAAAAAACCAGAATAAATTTCCGAAGATAAGACCTG